GCCGATAACGGGGGTGGATGGGGAGTGCTTTTGTCAAGAGGCTGAGGGACCACTTGGAGGAGGCGGCGCGGGAGCAGATTGGTTTCCGGGAGTAAGCTCAATGCCTTGGAAAATTTGAAGGGAATCTTTCGTAGATTTCTGTGGGTTTCTATCCAAGTTCTGGACCCTCCTCTGGCAAAGGCATGCCACCGTTGAATATAGGAATACCCAAAAATGCGGTACTGCAAAGGTAGATGCATCTGTTAGTGCAGTCTGTTGCTCAGTCGAGTCAGTCGCTGCGATATGGTAGAGGCGGAGGGGCCACAACAGCGGGGCCCTATAGCGGTCCCGGCTTTCTATACATGTGCAAACGCCCTGTGGTGAGTTGGTTCTGGTCCAGTTCGAATATTGAGTGAAGCTTTCCTCTACAGAGCCTCCGAAAAATTCATAGCGATTTATGTTTGGCGGGCGCGACGCCTGGAAGTCCCTGGTTGAGGATACCGAGGTCAACAGCAACGGCATCAACTGACATGAGGTTTGGTACCACGATGAAGTCGGTGTCATGAGCTTTGCCCTTGTTAGGATAACTTCATCTACTTCCTCTGTGTCGGAGATGAATACCTCTTTACCGCTGATGTCGGACCATCGCGAGGACGGCTTCGGACCGGACTGGTCGGACATTGGCGCTTCGGCGAGTTTCTGCAACGACTGGAGCCGTAGTATGACATCGTTTGGACTCCCATTATTGTTCGTGCTCAGACATTCAAACTAGAGGGGGCGGGAGAGCGATCGACATTTCAGCACCGAACTCTCCTCAGACGTAATATGCAGTTTTCGGGTGATGTGAAATTGTCGCTGTTCTCAGGTACCCCGGTTGCTGCAGCCCATCTATTAGTAACGAGTCGATTTCACCTCCGTCATTGCTAGCATATGATCGGCCGTCTTCTCCTGTGGTGAGCTCTATGCATGCTGGCACAGACCTCATCACTGGTCCATGTCAGATGGGCGTACCGCAACGTTGTCAGTGTGCAGAGGGCAGCTTCGGGTCGGTGATTCTGCCAATTCTTGATGTTATTAAAGTCACTCACATAGCGAAAACTATGGAGATGGAGGCTGATCGGTCAGAGGTAGAATTTTTCAGATAGGGTTTATCGATTCATACCACTCCATCTGCAGCGTTTCAACGATGCTGCGATGCTACGGTGTTTCCTGTATGCATTGGATAGCAGTCGAGGGCGACCTAATATGAACGACTTCATAATAGTAGCGGGGGAGCCGACAGCCCGACGAGGGCTAGGCTTATCATCGACTCTATTGATGCGAGTAGCAGATTCTGATGGCAACTATCATACCACTGGGGGTGAGCGGGCATTGTCGTTATTTTCATTAACTTTTCCTCGTTAGGTTCATGGCCAGATCTTACTGCTGAGATACCCTCAGGCGACCTGTTGCCGAGTCGCTCACTACCAACTGATCCTATCGAGGATGAAGTAGTAAATTGCATCCTAGGTCTTCATATGTGGTGCATTCTCAGGCGTCACTTACTGAAGATTCACTCGTGGAGATTCGCCCTACACTTTGCTGCTGTGCTGTGTGCCATGAAGATGTGAAAGGCCTGGCCACGGTGAGAATCGTGTGAATTTCTCTTCTGTAGTAGTTCTATTAGGTATGCAACGTGTGTGAGCATGGCGGCCATGTGGCACATATTTCGAGTTGGTTCGATCGGCCTGGGAAGAGCTGTCCGGTGTTGAACTGTCGATGTAAATGTGCATTTTAACGACGTCATCATTGTTTACTAAGACTATCATATTTTGTGGATAACATTGATAACATTGCACTTTTTACTATTGTTATTATTGAGTTCGACAAGTGGCGAAGGCCAAATCGGGCGCGCGCGAAAATTTCCGGGTTGAGAACCACGTTGGTCACGATGACTTAACACGGCTGTCAATTTTCTTGACAACGGGGACGTCCTAGTGTGCTGAAATGAGGCGAATTTATACGCCAGGGCTAATGCTGAGTATTATATGAGTATTGGTCCTATACCACACCTTTCTGAACTCCTACACTTGTGATGGTTGCTCAGGACTATATACTGCTTCCATGTAGTTCACGTAGATAGTGCATGTCTGGCAGTGGCGAGCCT